AGTCCACCATCTGGACTCCTCCAGGGACAGTTCATGTTGCCTGGTTTTCTTTCCTTTTTTTCCCTTCTGTGTGGGTCGAATTCTCCTGTTTCTTTGCCCATCTCATAGTTTTCAGAAAACTGTGCATTTTAGGTACTACAGCAGCTCCTGTCATGGTGCTGTTGTTGTCTAGTGATTTGGCTGGACGAGTCAATAGATTCTGCTTCCCCTATTGCTCTGTTGCCAGCGGGCACAGCCTTGCCAGTCTGACAAGCAGACTGCTTGGTTGCTATTGGTCTTTCGTCTTCCTGCTAAAACCTCCTCTGCTGGTGTCCCACCCAGCTGCTAGCCCCTGTTAGCTACTGCCCAGTCTCTCTATTGCTTTCAGCAATACTGCAAGGTACTGTCTTACATACTGATCCAATCTCATGGCAGGCCTCTTTCCAGCAAGGTATTGTCAGTTTTTGAGGCTTGCTCTAGACACAGGAAGGCTCTTCTTGGTTTGTTTGTCTAGTTCTGTTAAACATCTGCCTGGTCAACTGTTTTGTTTGTTGCCACTTGTATTATTGAATCTGGCTAGTTTTATATCTACTTGATGCAAAGCTGGAGTCATTTTGGAAGGGACCTCCATTGAGAAAATGTCTCTACCATATTGGCCTATGGGTGTCACTAGGCGGTGGTGCATTTTCTTGATGTATTATTGATGCAGAAGTTTCCAACTCACCCTGGGCAGTGACACCCCTGGGCTGGTGGTCCTGGGTACTATAAGAAAGCAGGCTTGGAAGCTCAGTGGTCAAGAGAAAGCACTGCTCTTGTAGAAGACCTGAGTTTGGTTCCTGGTATCCACATCCAGCCGCTCACAACTGCCTGTAACTTCAGCTGCAGAGAGTCAATGCCTCTGAGGATATTGTGTGCATATGCACATACCCATACCCATATACATATAACAATAAAATCTAAAAAATACATGGAGGGAGGGAGAAGGAAAGGAAGAAAGATAGAAAGAAGGAAGGAAAAAGCAAGGAAAAAAGGAAGGAAGATTAGAAACAACCGAGTAAGTTGTTTCTTCTTAAATTCCTGCCCTGACTTTCTAGGATGACAGATTAAAAACTAAAATGAATCAGGTGGTGGTGGTGCATGCCTTTAATCCCAGTACTTGAGAGGCAGAGGCAGGTAAATCTCTGAGTTCGAGGCCAGCCTGGTCTACAGAGTGAGTTCTAGGACAGGCACCAAGGCTACACAAAGAAACTCTGACTTGAAAAACCACAAAAAAAAAAAAGAAAGAAAGAAAGAAAAAGAAAAAAAGTAGAAGAAAGCTGGAAGCTTAAATAAACCCTTTCTTCCCCTTGTTGCTTTTGGTCATGATGTTTATTACAGCAACAGAAGCCAACTGAAGAGCTCCTCTAGCATGGCTAACCCAAAGATCTCCATTGTTTCCTACAAAGTCCTCAGCCATGAGCCCATCATACTCTCCCCGAAATAAAGTCAGTCCCTTAGGCCGCCGACCAGTAGATACATGGACATAGAAATGGGAACAGCAGACCACCTTTCGTGTAGTGGCATCCCTGATGTACACGTGGGGTGTTCTGGGGTCACCGTGGTCCTTGGTCTTCACAGCATGACCTCGCAGCTATAATACATTCTGATGCTTCGTTATCCTCCTCCTCCTCTTGCAAGACACTTTCACTATGTAGCCTAGGCTATTCTTAAATGCTCAATTCTTCTGCCTCAGCCTGCTGAGTTTTGGGGCTCCAGGTGAAACTCAGATATGATGAGAGAATCTTGAGTATTCTCATTACCCTTAAGAGAAAGCAAGTGTGCTGTGCTTCTGGGCACAGCCTTCGGTGCGACCACAACAGCCTGCCTGTGGGAATCGGGTTGGATTACCACTTTCTTTTTTCCTTTTTCTTTATTGTTTTTGTTTTGGTCCTTTGTTTTGTTTTGCAAGACAGGATTTATCTGTTTCACAGGGCTGACTGTCTTGGAACTCACTTTATAGGCCAGACTGGCTTCAAAGTCTCAGAGATCCACCTGCCTCTGCTTCCCAAATGCTGGGATTAAAGGCGTGCGCCACCACCAACCATCTTAGATTATCACCTTCATAAAACATGTTAATAGTAATTTTTTTATTAGTTTGTGTCACAGTAAATCAAAACAGTGCTTCTAAAATTGGCAACTGGAAACCATTGAGCTTGTTAGAGTTCAGACTGACAAGATGGGTCTGGGGTTGCCCAGCTCTGTGTTTCCCACCAGTTCCCAGTGCGAGACACAGAAGGAGCCCAGAGGCTCCTCAGCAAGGAGGCGATCTATGACATGATAGCGTCTCAGCTGGACGTACCAAGGAGTAGCTCTCCTCCCCCAGTTGTGAGGGTCATTATGTACTTTGTAAAATGGCCTCAAAATGTATGTTCCCAAGGATGAATTCAAATTCCAAATCCTCCCAGGTCTACCTCCCAAGTGCTAGGATTATATATGTACTTAATGCCACTGAACTGTGTGCTTAAAATGGCTAAAATAGAAAGTTTTATTATGTATATTTTACACTGCAGGAAGATAGGAAATGAGCTGAGACTGGTGAAATCAAAGTGTTTAGAGCTATATAATCTCACGCATGAAACACCTTAAGAAATCTAAACAAGAGAAAGCATAGTCCTTAATAAAGGAGAGAAACGAAATAGAAAAGGAAAAGAAAGGGATGAAAAGCACAGTCTCTGGTATTTCTGAACTGGATGAAAACATCCTGATCTGCTAAGAAAAACCCAGATTCTTGAGAGGGCCCCACGCTCTGTGACCGTCACTATCAGTTTTGGACAGGTCAGGGAACCCTGATTGCTCTTCGAGCAGATGAGGGAGGGGGACTTCATCGGGGGAGGGGGAGGGAAATGGGAAGCGGTTGTGGGGACGAGGCAGAAATCCTTAATAAATAAATAAATTAAAAAAAAAAAAGAAATTGAAGCTCCCAGAACTTCATGGACTAATGGGGTCCTGCCCAACAGGACAGAGCCAAAGCCCATACCTTGAACATTAAGTTACGGAAGCAGCTGGCAGAGTTCCGGGCTCCCCAGGTGATGGCGTACGTCAAGGAGAAGATCTTGAATGGGGACCTGGAGAAGACCATCAAGATGTGGGAGAGGAAGGTGGAGATCGCAGAGGTGAGTCTGCTGTCCCCAGGCAGGATTGAGTCACTGACCTGGCCTTGACGACAGGATCACCAAGTATCTCAAACCACCAACATCTTCCTTCAGGATTTATCAGGCTGAGGCTATAGGGATGTTGGACGTGTTGTGTGAGTGTGCATGAGAAATCTCGGCAGTTGTCTCAGCTGTTCAAAGTGAATGGGGGCATCCCTCCCCCAGCTAAGCTCCCACTTGTGATGGTTAAGAACAACGTCCTTTAGGGTCTGGGAGAGAGAGATTCTTGTTACCCAAGTGTGTTTAGTCACTTGCTTCTGCGATGAATTCTAGAATCTTATGGGTATTTAGTAACTGCTTCTTCTTACATGGAGAAGGAGTTTTTAAGCAAAGGAGAAGCCGCACACTTGGTGGCAGTCCCTTTAGTCCCACACTTGGAGGCAGAGGCAGGCAGATCTGTGTTTGAGGCCAGGTCTCCGCAGTGAGTACGTAGTTCTACAATGTACTCAAAACTACAGAGTGAGGTCCTGTTTTAGAGAGAGAGGAGAGGAGAAGAAAAATGGCTTTCAGATCACAAGTCCATGCATTTACATAGTTGCTATGGGCCTCTATGAGCTGATGTGCGTGTAGATCTCATGGTGGTCTGCACATTCAGGGTAGAGATTAAAACCCGTGGGAGCTGCTGAGGAAACTGGGATCTTCCTACATCTAGACCCCAGTTCCATTTCCCTCGTGTGGTCATTGGTGACAGGGAGGACACGAGGGCCCTAGCTCAGCATACAGCATACCTGAAAGTGAGCAGAGACTCCAACAGGGGCCTGCACCATCTCGCTTTGGGCAAAAATACACTCTTTAAAACAATATTTTGGTTTTTTTTTTTTTTGCTGCTGCTGCTTTTTTTTGTTTTTATTCTCTCCTCTCTCTCTCTCTCTCTCTCTCTCTCTCTCTCTCTCTCTCTCTGAGACAGTGTACCATGTATCCCAGTCTATTCTCCCCTAATTCAGCCTAATATGTAGCTGAGGATAACCTTGAACTTTGATTTTGATCCCCTCTCCCACCTCTATTCCAATGTGTGGCGGGTGCTGTGGATTAGACGCAGGGCTTTGAGCATGCTGGGGGTGCCCTATAGCAACTGAGCTACATCCCCGGCCCTAGAAAGGTCTTTTGGGTCTCCATTGCTCTGTGATGATGTCTGCCTGCAGGGTGCACCATGGGACCTTGGCCCCTCACAGGGTCATCTGCATGGCCAGCAGTTTGTAGATGGTGGTGGCCTACAGCACAGGCACACACACCCCGTTTTTCCCAAGTAACCTTCTCCCATCTCCCCTTTTCTGTTTTGTAGATGTCTTTAAAGGGGTACCGAAAAGCCTGGAACAAAATGAAAACACCGGATGAGCAGCTTCAGACGATCCGGCCCCCAGGGAAATAGCCAGGAGCAGCCCATAGCTTGCAGACCCAGAAGTGACCTATTAAAGTACTCTAGTGTTTTCCAGTAGTGGGGTTCTCTCACTGTTCCCTGTGCCCAAATAGTGTTTATCCGTCCCCCTCCCCTGTCACTACCAAGCCACATCTAAATGGTCACCAGCAGGGCCACATCTACCCGTGGGAACATCTTCCCAGCCTGGCCCCTGGAGCCATAACACTGAAAGAACCACAGGGCACTCTAACAGTTTGATACTTGTTAGCCCACGTTTAGTTCACAAGCGTAAACGAAGTGACCTTCCCACGTATGGGAGTGGGACAGAAGAGGGAGAGCCAGCCCAGTGATGCTGTGGGGCCTGACTGTGGTCGCCCAAGTGGCACCTATCAAAAGCGGACCCCAGAACAGTACCGTAGACGCCTAGCCCCATGCACTCCGAGCTTCTTGTCTGTGGGGAGGTTAGCTGCTAGCTAGACACCGCTGCCCAAGAAAACAAGCACGAGGGACATCAAGATCCTTTCTTGGGGCCAATACAGCCTGCTCTGGCCAGCTACAACCCCTTCTTCCTCCGCCTCCCCCCCATAGTAGTCGTAGTACATGGGTTGAATAGCCACTTTTGCAGGCCAGCCTGATTCCTGAAGACCGTTTGCCCTGAAGTTCTGCCCATTGTCTGTTGACTTGTTGTACGCAGTGGACAATTTTGGTCTTTGGGAGTGGGTTTGGGGCCGTTCAGTATGGCCGTGTACAGAATACGCATTCTTTGTCAGGGCAATATTTGATTCGTCAAAAAGGAACTCAGGGGGCAACTTCTCCCAGGACTGGAGCGAGGACAGGGAAGGGCCAGCCTTCCTCGCCTGGGCCATGATCCAGTCACTGTAGTCTTCCACACTGGTATACAGAAACAGGCCAGGGCACGAGTCGCCTCCATGGGTCATGATTCCTTTGAGGACCCAGAGATTCAGCTTCTTCACTTGGCACATCACAGGGCTTCCTGGTTCCCCCTGCAATAAAGGACAGGGGGCTTAGGTTTGAGAAAACCTTCTTTTTCTGTAGACGCCAGAGGTCTGTTTTAGAAGGGAGTACAGACTTGCTACCACAACTGCTTTTTTTTAATGCAGAGCTGGGGATCAAATCCCTGAAGCCAGGGCTTTATTCAAGACAACCACCCACCAGCTGAGCTACCTCCCCAGTCCAATTTTTCTTTGCATTATGCAAATTATTTGTGGCCTTGACACCCAGATTGCCTGTAACGTCCTGGCTCGTTTTTCACCGTCTTGGTTTTTGCTAGCACTCTGATCTGGGGCTGTTCTGGGTCTACAGCTTCCTAACCCACGTCCCAGCCACTAGTTCCTCCTGCTCACCAGCCCTGCCCATCCTGCTGCCTTTCCTTTTTCCTGAGTTGTCCCCTGGGTCTCAGGCGTTCTGCTGCACACACCTTAACTCACGCAAGGTCCGAGAAGGCAGAGGCTTAGCACTCTGGGCTGGATTTGGAACCAGCGCAGGTGACCTGATCCCTTAGCGCCTGTGACACACGCGGCGCTGGAGCTGGGCACGCAGCCTGCGCTCAGTCAAGTATTAGCTATGGCCGTCCCGAGGGCTTATAAAGGCACTAACTTTTCTGTATGGAGTTGAGGGAATGCAGAAAGTCCCAAGATTCATTCCACACCAGGCTCCCCCTTTTCAAGCGCCAAACCTCCACCCATACCTTGTGGTCCATCTGGGTCCGAGATAGGGGAGGACTATTCACCCTCCTTGATTGTATGGCCCCCCTCAACTGGAAAAGCCAGGCAAGCTGGCCAACGATACATTGCTCTTGCTGTTTGGACTGAGCGAGTAGTGAGCAGTGTGGCAAGTGATAACAGCGAACCGTTTGCACAAATTCAAGGATGAGAAGCAGAGAGGCAAGGGTTGACCTTATCAGCCCCTTCTCATCTGCAGCCTCGGGAATGGCCTGCCTGGCGTGTCCCCTCCCTGGATACCTCCCCTTGCTCAGAGGGACGTGTCGGTAGAGCAGAGGTGAGGGTGAAGGGTGGGAGGAAGGGGTGACTGAAAGCATGGCAGAGCTGAGGCATGTGCTTTCTGCAAAGACACTGTCATGCCTGGGTGGTGAGAAGGCGAACGCAGGTTCCTGGGCAACGCAATGTGTGTGCTACTCTGTGCTGCTCGCCGCAGGGAAAGGGCAGCACAGCAGCCCTGTGTCTTCTTTTCTTTTCTTTTTCTGTAGTCTGCTGTCACCTCACTCGGCCAGTCGGCAGAGGGTTGAAATGTTGTTTAGAGTTCTGGCTGGTCACTTGGGCTTGCTGAACGGCCGTTGTCCATGACACACTCAGGCTGCTTGGGGTATAGTGAAGAAGGGTATAGTCTTCCCCCTTTCCCGGGTCCCACCCCAAGCTGATCATCCTTGTGCTCGAGGAGGAAAATGGATGGGATTTAGGACACACAGTTTGATGTTTCTGACGCAGTTGTGGGTACAGATGACCCCATCAAATGGTTTTGCTACTAACCTCAGGCACAGAATAAGCTCGGGTTTTTTTTTTCTTTTGTCCCTGCCCCCACTTCTTCCCCACCTGACAAAGCTGTGATTTCTGGTCTCTGAAGTAAATGGATAAGAGGCTACCAACCCAGGGCCTTCGAGGCAGCTCTGTCTTACCTCCTGGTGTCAGGGGCAGCTACTACACTGAGGGGCCCCTTTCACCGAGTGGTCCTCTCCCTTGACATCTCACAGAACCTCTAAGGGTTGTAAAAACTAAAAGGGGAAAAGTAAGGAGCAGCTCTGCTGGGCCCGAGGGACCCGTTAGTCCGATTCTGCCTGAGAAGTGCGGTGTTCAGGATCCAGACACCAGAGCCCATTTCCACGAGAGGCAGCTTTCCAAACACTGAAGTCACCAATAGATATTTCGTGAGCAGAATTCAGTTCAAAAGCTAAGGGTTAGTGGCTCAGGATGGCTCGGGATACAGTACACGCTGAACCAGAGTGAGGGCGAGAAAACTTGGATACTGAGAGTCACGTGGGCTCAGGAGGCTGGCGGAGACACACAGCAGACTAGCGGTATCAAGTGACCACACTGTAGGGTTTAAGTACTTTCTGCCAACTGTTATTCCTACCAGAGACATGAACCTGCGGCACTGGCCCTACTGTTCATTCCCCATTCTGTAAGGAAGAGCTCCCAAGACCCCTTGGTGCAACCAATGATCAATGATTACTTTCAAGAGCTGGCTTCTACTGTGTCTTCTTACCAGGCAAACTTTGTATTCCTTATTTGCGTGACTGGCACATTCTGTATTCTGGTCTCTTTGTAAAGGACACAGGTCAATGTCTTCCACGGAGATTCTCCTCAGGATACTCATTGTCATGTGATTTCCTGTCTGGACCATGCAACAGAGAGCCCAAGAATTACTAACAAGAAGGCAGTCCTGAGTCAACCCACCAGCAACTCGCATATCCAACCAGGAACCAACAGAAAATGTCCCTATACATCCCTTTTACCCATAGAAATCAGAACTTGTGTCTGAGTTTTTACTGGAAACTATCTTTGCTTTGAATTGAAATCTGTAAGCAGGCAGAGAACAATTCACCCCTCCTTCACACTTAAAGAATATACATTTTCGCCGGGAGGTGGTGGTACACACCTTTAATCCCAGCACTCGGGAGGCAGAGGCAGGTGGATCTCTGTGAGTTCGAGGCCAGCCTGGTCTACAAGAGCTAGTTCCAAGACAGGCTCCAAAGCTACAGAGAAACTCTGTCTCAAAAAAACCAAAATAATAATAATAATAGTAATAATAATAATAATAATAATAATAATAATAATACATTCTCTTGTTTCATTCTTGTCCAAGAATGGCAGGAAATGGGTGGCTTAGGTAAGAATGTGCTCAGCTGTAGTCCCCTTACTCCTCCCAGTGCTTGTTAGGCAGCATGCTGCCTGTATACTTCCTGGGTATAGAACTAAAAAAAAAAAATGGCCCGTGGAATATGGTACAAGAAAAGACCCCAAAAAGGCAACCACTGAGAATCAACTATAAAACCTCAAGCATTCTGAATGATTAGGATAGGCCCCAGAGAAATTCCTCTGAGTCCCTCCTCACTCCCAGCACACACACAGCCTCCTCTAGGAGAAAGAATGCATTAACTGCAGATGTGGGGTTCCATCCTGCCACCCAGCAGTTTCTCAAGGTTGGTGGTTTCTGTAGTTTTTTGTCCAGGAAGCAGATGGCCTGGACCATGTCATCGAAATGTATGGCAGATTCTGTCCTCAGGAGGGCTATGTCATTGCTCCTGGAGCTGTTAATGAAGTTCTCATGGGGGATGATGATGCTGACTGAGTACTCTGTGTGATCAACCTTTCTGGGGTCCATGTTGGCTATACCGACAACAGCAACGACCTTCTTCCTAGAGAGACAGACAGCAAAGGGCCTTTGAGAAGTCGAGGCAGCGATGAAGCTTCACACTTCCCTCATTTCTCATTTTTTATGTTTTTCGTTTTCAACCTGGCATTCTCATCCAACTCAATCCATGGGTATTTTGTCTTTGTTTTTAACGTGTGTGTGTGTGTGTGCATGCGTGAACACACATGTGTATGTGTGTGTGAATGTGTCCCACTTGTGCCTGCCAGAGTCAGAATGTATTGGATTCCTTAGAGTTGGAGTTAGTAATGGTTGTGAGCTCCTCAATGGTGCTGGGAACTGAACTTGGACTCTCTGGAACAGCAAGAAGCGCTCTAACTGCTGAGCCATCTCTCCAGCCTCCAATTCAGTTTTTACTCAAACCTTTGAACTCAGTCTCCAGGGAATCTCTTCTGAATTTCTAGATTTGTGTTCTCCCTTGTCAGCCCAATCTCTTGGGGGATTCTTCTGTTCTGATAACCATTTATCTTACCATGCAAAGATCATCTGTTCACATGTTCTTGGGTGGCTTTTCTGTATGAATAGTTTTTTGTTGTTGTTGTTGTTTTTTAACATAGCTCAGTGATTAAGAGTACTACCTGCTCTTTCAAAGGTTCTGAGTTCAATTCCCAACAACCACATGGCCGCTCACAACTGTCTGTAATGAGAGCTAGTGCCCTCTTGAGGAAGAGACCAGGTCAGTCATCCTCATCAACCTAGACCATGGAACTCAGTACGAACAAGTTCAACAGAACCGCCATATACGGACTTCCCATACATGCTTCAGAATTGGCAGGGCATGTATTTCATTCATTCATTTCATTTCAATACAAAATATGTACTCATGACTCTCACTCACTGTCTCAGCACTTAACATCATTTTGTTGTTGTTGTTGTTTTGGTTTGTTTTTGTTTTTCAAGATGGGGTTTCCCGTGTAACAGTCCTGGCTGTCCTGGAACTCACTTTGTATACCTGGCTGGTCTCAGATTCACAAAGATCTGCATGCCTCTGCCTCCCGAGTGCTAGGATTAAAAGTTGCCACCACCACTGCCCAGTCTCTTGGTGCAGCGTCTGGCCTCACATACTCTGTGAGTGCGTTTGGGGAGGACATGGCTTTACAGAGGCGGGATTAGGTTGGGTGTTCTCTACCTCTTCCCTTGGGACTCACCCAAGAAACGATACGAATGCACGGCAGATGCATACACCCTAAAACCATAAAGAGGACTCAGCACTCTGCCATCTGAGCAAGGGCTGGCACGCCCAGCAAAAGACAACCGGGGGTGGCAGGTGACACCTGCTGCTGCTGAGCTCAGCAGCAGCCCAGTGAGAAGGCTCTCAGCAGAAAGGCAGATAAGAAAGCAAGTCCTCTTTCAGCAGGAGGAGAATGGAAAACAATGAAAGACTTAGAAAGTGGGCCAGGAACAGTGACCAATGAGACAGAAGTCAGCCGAGTTGTCTTACGTGTCTGCTTTCATTTTCTTCTGTATGTGTGCAGAGTGTGCATGTGTGTGCACGTGCGTGTGCACATGTGCGGAGGCCTGAAGTTGATGCTGGGAAGCATCCTCAACTGGTCCTTCACTTTCTTCATCGAGGCGTGGGCTCAAGCCCAGAGCCCACACACAGTCTCCCTAAGCGAGAAGAGTTAGGTCAGGCCCAGCTGTGTGGAGCTGGTGAGGGAACAATCTGCACTTCGCCTCAGGAGCGTACAGACCCTGCTTCATCTTACTCTCCCCGCGCCCCCCCCCCCAGGCTGTTGTCAGTCCTGGCACTGATGAAACCCAGCTGGAGCCAGGATGCAGGGGTAAATGCGGCTATCACCCTCACCAGAGCGGGGAGAGGAGAGAGTGGATCGCTGGTCACAGATGGGAGGATCCGCAGAGCTGGACATCCAGTCCAACGAAGATGAACTCTTTCTAAGGTTGAGCAAACACTTCATTGTCTAAGCCATGAAAGTCATGAAAATGAACGAGGGTAATGGCAGAAGCTGGGATCGCAGGGGTGAGCCGGGCATCTCCCGGGTAGATAAGCATTCTTAGCCATACTGCTTAAAATTGGAATCACCTCAGATGTATTTAATACCAGGGTGGTGGTGGGAGGGGCAGAATGATGCCTACAGAGTCTTCCATGGACAAGAAATGTGAGTCATAAATAGGACAAGAATTGGGAGTGAGGGGGTTCTACAGAAATATCTTGCCATGATCTCAAAAAATGGGACCACAGTTGGTAGTAAGGCCTTTATTTTCGTATTTGGAGAGGTACCTAAGGCCTGATCCAGTAGGACCAGTGTCCCCTTCCCTTAAAAAAAAACTTTTCTTTTTTTCATATGTATTGTATATGTGGTGTGTGTGTGTGTGTGTGTGTGTGTGTGTGTGTAGGACTGAGGTTGATGTCAGGAATCTTCCACGTCTCTCTTCTGTCTTACTCTCACACAGAGAAAAGTAGCCATGTGAACACACACCTAGAAGGCTTCTGCCCATACATCCAGAAGGCAGCAAACCTGCTGACCCTCTAACCTTGGACTCTCTGGGCTAAATCTTCTAGTTTATGGTATTGTGTTATGGAAACCTACGCTGACTAGGGGAGAGAGAATTCCATGTTAGTAGATATAAGAATCAATATAGAAAGATATATGGACATCTACAAACACATTATGCATTTAAAAAAATCCAAGATGATGATGGCAGGCCATGGCACAAGGGGAAGAATCTAGTGACTGAGGGGATGGTTTCCCTACCTGACTTTGTTTCTTTGTGGATATTCAACAATATACATGGATTTCTACTTAAAAATGTAAATTCTGGCTCTTATAGAGACAGTGTTGAGACACACTCTTAACGGTGTTTAACACACCATTGTAGGCTTTCCCACAATACAGTCTCTTACAAAACTAGGCTGTCTTGAACTCCTGGCCGCAGGATTGTTTCCTTTTAAACCAAGAAAGTTGGGAAAGCACCAAAATCTGCATGTGGTATTGTGCCCTGTCAGACTCTGGGGTGTTCGTGCTGTAAGACCTGAAGTCCCTATGAGCGAGTCTAAAATAAAGCACGCCAACAGAGCTTATGGTGGCTCCATGTATACTGAGTATGTCCATGGAAGATCAGGCACACTCCCTCCCTCATTGAGGAGCAGAAGGTTGTTGTGAAACTGTTGAAGGCCAAGCACAGAGTCAGAAAGTGAAATAACTGTGGAGTTTTTTTAAATAATAAAAGTCAAGGCTCTGTACACACACACACACACACACACACACACACACACACAAATCCTGGCCAGTGGGAGGGTCAAGGGTGGACCATGAACAACAGAAGGTAATGAGAGCAGACTGAGCAAAATACAATGATACACATGCTTGAAAACACTGTCATAAAGTAGATGTCTATGGTACTCTGGTATCAGGAATGGGTTACATCTTACTGAGTCCACTGGCCAAAGGGTTCCCATGGAATCTCCCTGATGTCACAGACTATTTGCCAAGGCTGTCAGTTGCTCTCTCTCCACAATGGTAAAACCCTGTTGCTGAAATCATCATGTCATTGATCACAGAGAAGTTGATGTGGTGCCTGACTAGAAGCTTCAATTCTACTGACTAGTGTTCATGGCTTTGGAAGGCACTCTGCAGACTCCGGAGGGAAAAGGTAACCATCAGTATCAGCCAGTTATAAACCCTGACCTACAACAGCAACCTGCCTACAAAATATAATGCTGCAATAGTGGCACAGATATCATGGGAGTAACCAACCACTTTGGGGGTTGCTGAATTTAAGGCCCATTCCATGAGCTATAACCCATGCCATACAAAGTGGCCAAGAACCTGAGACTAGATAAGTCATGGGCCTAGGAGGAAACCTAATATAACTATTCTGCTAAAGGAACATAGCAATAAAATGACTCCTGATGGCATATTCATAGATCTGTGTCTTGATCAACACATCAGAGAAGTTTTTTCTTGTAGTAGGTGGGAGTTAAGACAGAGACCCACAACTGGACAATGTGCAGAGAATAAGAGACTTAGGAACACTCACTCCCAAATGGGATGTGTTCATTAACCCCCTCCTCTCAAGGCTCAGGGATCTATGAGGGAGAGGAGACAGAAACATTCAATAGTATGCAAACTTGTGCAACCACTCTGGAAAGCAGTGTTTCGGTTTCTCAGGAAATTTGGGATCAACCTACCCCTGGATCCAGCAATACCACTCTTGGGAATATACCCAAGAGAGGCCCTATCATACAACAAAAGTATATGCTCAACTATGTTCATGGCAGCATTGTTTGTAATAGCCAGAACCTGGAAACAACCTAGATGCCCTTCAACGGAAGAATGGATGAAGAAAGTATGGAATATATACATATTAGAGTATTACTCAGCAGTAAAAAACAAGGACTTCTTGAATTTTGCATACAAATGGATAGAAATAGAAAACACTATCCTGAGTGAGGTAAGCCAGACCCAAAAAGAGGAACATGGGATGTACTCACTCATATTTGGTTTCTAGCCATAAATAAAGGACATTGAGCCTATAATTCATGTTCCTAGAGAAGCTAAATAAGGTGAATCCAAAGACAAACACATAGGCATCCTCAGGAATATTAACCTTCATCAGGCAATGAAAGGAGACAGAGACAGAGACCCACACGGGAGCACCGGACAGAAATCTCAAGGTCCAAATCAGGAGCAGAAGGAGACGGAGCACGAGCAAGGAACTCAGGACCACGAGGGGTGCACCCACACACTAAGACAATGGGGATGTTCTATTGGGATCTCACCAAGGCCAGCTGGCCTAGGTCTGAAAAAGCATGGGATAAATCCGGACTAGCTGAACATAGCGGACAATGAGGAATACTGAGAATTCAAGAACAATTGCAGTGGGTTTTTGATCCTACTGCACGTACTGGCTTTGTGGGAGCCTAGGCAGTTTGAATGCTCACCTTACGAGACCTGGATAGAGGTGGGCAGTCCTTGGGCTTCCCACAGGTCAGGGAACCCTGATTGCTCTTCGAGCAGATGAGGGGGGGGGACTTGATCGGGGGAGGGGGAGGGAAATGGGAAGCGGTTGTGGGGACGAGGCAGAAATCCTTAATAAATAAATAAATTAAAAAAAAAGAAAGATTCAATAGTGATATTTTATATATGTTTTAATAAATAAAGCTTACCTAAAGATCAAAAGGGCAACGTTAAGCCACTAGAGATCAGGGAGAGGTGACACGCACCTTTAATCCCAGGATTTGGGAGACAGAGGCAGAAGGATCTCTGTGAATTCAGGGCCACCTGGGCTACACAAGATCAATGTAGAAACAAATCTAGGTGGTAGTGGCCTACACCTTTAATCCCAGTAGTAGAGGAAACATAAAATGAGAGGAAAGAGGCTTAGTTTGCTTAGTCTGTGGTAGCTCATCCTTGATAGAAGAAAGACTTCTCTAGTGGCTTGGATGCTTTGCTTTTCTGGTTTTTGAGTTGAACCCCAACTTCTGTCTCTGGGTTTTCATTATTTGTACTACAAGATTGTAAGAGTCAGAGATAATGGACGACTCCAAGGAACCAATGTCTTCCAGATACAACAGGACAGGAGCACATACGAAGTCACAGAGACCGTGACATCACACACTTGTGCAGGTTCCAGCCAGACAGGATCCCAGAGAGGGGGGAGTAGACACAGAAAATCCAAGGTTAGAGTGTCAGCAGGCTTGTTTCCTTCTGGACTTACAGCCCTTACCAAACCCTAACAATTGGTACCTGCTGGCAAAGAGGAAATCAGTGTATCAACCACACTCCAGGGAAGGCCCCATGCCCAGGAGTAGTTAGCCAACACAAAACCAGCTCAGTGATAATTTTGTGGACTTTCGTTTTCATTTTGTTTTGGTTGGCATTTTTTTTTATCTTATTGATCTTTTGTTTGTTTGTTTTGATTTTTGTTTTTGAAAGAAAGAACAAAGTTGAGTAGGTAGAGAGGTGGAGAGGAATTGGAGGAAGGGGGAAAACATGATTAAAATATATTTTACAAATAATAGTTAATAAAAAATAAAATGCCATAGGAAGTCTATTATTTTATATTCATACTAGAAGAATAATAAATTTAAAAATACACAAAGCAAGTCTTAAAAATTCAGCAGCTAAAGAATATTCTATCAGGAGTTTACATTATAATTTCTTTAGCTGATTAAACTATTCTTTCAGGCTGGGGAGACAGCTCGGTGGATAAAGTACTCACTATGCAAGCATGAGGACCGGGGTTTGGATCCCTAGGATCCACATAAAAGCTAAGAGTCCTGCTTGCTATTCTAGCACACAGGAGGCAGAGATAGGGAACTCTGGGCAAAACCCAGTCAAATCAGTGAGCTTCGGGTCGGGTGAAAGACCCTGCACCAGTAAAGTAGAGAGCAATGGGGGAAGATATCCAATGTCACCCCAACACATGCACACATACACATCACACGCATGTGCACATTACACATGCACACGCAAAACCATCACAAGCTTTATCTTTCACATCTACTATAGGAGAAATTAAGCAAGAATGTGCAAGAACATGCATACATCTGGCCGTCAGGGTGATGACATCACAAAGCTGAAACTTTCCATCCTTTCTCCATCTATGCAATGGATAGCATACTCTTTCACATACAGCGTGCATAAGAAATTATATTATCATGCTAGTCTATGATAACTGGAAATTCACTTTTATTTGGCTGGTTTTTTTTGTTTGTGTTTGTTTTTGAGGCAGAGTCTCATGTAGCCAGGCTGGCTTTAAACTCAACATATAGCTAAGGATGAAGAAATTTTAATTCTTGACCCTTCTGCCTTCACCTTCCAAGTAGTGGGCTCCCAGGCCTGTGCCAAAAATCCCCCTTAGATGTTTACTTTTATATTCTAGCATTTTCTGTGTAATTAGTGAACAACTTTGTGGGGGATTTCTTCCCTAGTGGTTGAAATTATCCCATTACTGCCAATCCTCAAAAGTTAAGGTCGGCTATTGGACTAGAAGTGAAGTATTCTATAGTTTATGAAAATATTTTGGAATGTTTGCCAAATATTTCCTTTAATCATATTTATGATTTTTTCTTTCTTTTCTGTACGAATTTGAGCTTATGGTATATAATTTGGAGAACACAGACAAGAACAATTGGAGGACAGAGTCATGTTCTGAGCACCCAGAGAAAAGCATCTAGAGGCATGTCTGATTTCCTTCAGCTTTTCTCTGTGCCCTTCTGTCTGTAGCAGTAACATTTACAAGGCCCAAGGAAATCCTGCCGACTTCCTTAACTTATCCCGGAAGGACACCTGGTGGATAGAATTAAAGAATCCGCATCTCTGTAGTTGCGGCAAAATCCCAAGTGGACATCCTAGAAACAACAAATGACGTCTTGCTTTTTACTGGTGCCACTTCTCGGTCCTCACAGTAAAGTCCCACGAGCCACTGGTGACCTCAGGACCTTGACTCAGGCGAGTACACACGGAGGTGAGTAGGCCCCACCATTCCCCAGGCCTGCAGCAGACCCTCCCAGCCCTCCCTCTGGGGCACTAGCCTGTCCTGGAGAGCCGAGGCGCTGCTGAGGATCCAGAACTCGCTGAGAATGCAGCCGAATGCCAGGTGGGTGTACTCTTGGTCCTGTATGGACACCACCCAGGGGAACTCGGTGCTGCTCACGAGGTTCTCCTTGGACTCGTCCTCGATGTTGGCTTTCTGGATGCCGCAAACTGCAGAGGGAACAAAAGCCTCACTAAGTGGCACCTGGGGGCCCGGCCATTTCCCAGCCCTCGGGACTCCTGTTTTGTGGGCTGTTTTCCTTGGGGCTGACTCTACAACCCTGATTCTTTTGTTCCTCCCCGGAGATTGTCCACATAAAAGACGCTTGCTAATACCTCTGAACCCTTTCCAAGTCTTCCTAGACCCTGCTACTGGCACTCTTTGGCCTAGCGCAGTACCTCTTGGTAGGCCTTGTCTGGCATTTTTCATTCAAAAGTGGGTGGCAAAGGGACCTCTAGGCATTCTTGTCTAGGCCTTTCCTTAAGGAAAAAAAAAACCCTGCTGCTTGCTTTCCCGGCTCTCCTCTCACAGTGTGAGGTGCAGTTTTCCAGCTTTGCGATGGCATCACCCTGACGGCCAGATGTATGCACGGATTTGTATATTCTTGGCCTTTGACCTTTTCTAGTTTCGTTTCCACTCCAGTAGGCGTGAAAGGTAAAGCCCGGGATGGGTAGCTCTAATCGTCAACTTGATGCAACTTCAAATCACTTGGGAAGAGAGTTCCGTTTGTTTGTTTTTCAAAGCAATTTATTTATTTTTGTTTCATGTGCATTGGTGTTCTGTCTGCATGTATGTCTGCATAAAGGTGTCGGATCCCCTGGAACTGGAGATACAGACAGTTGTGAGCTGCCATGTGGGTGCTGGGAATTGAACCCCGGGTTCTTTGGGAAAACAACCAGTGCTCTTAACCACTGAGCCATTTCTCCATCCCCGGGAAAAGAGTCTCAGAGAAGAATTATCTAGATAAAGTTGGAGTGAGAACATGTCTTAATTACACAGACTGCTGGGACAAAACTAAGGCTACTTCAGAAATACCAACAATGACATCCCTTGTCCATGCTCTGATTTTTCTCTGGAGACATTGGTGATTTGTAATATTAGCCAATCCTCCCCAAGCCAAGAACCTCCATGGATGTGACAGCATTCCTTTTTCCAAAATGTTATTCGGGTGCTGGGGAAGCAGCTCAGTAGTAGAGTTCCTGCCTTGCGCCCCATTCCACTGCCAACGCCATGATGAGAAAATGTGGTCCAGACCAAGGGTTTGGTCTGGGTCTCAGCTATGGCTTAGTAGGAGAGATGTCATGTCTGTGTTTCTGAGCATCTCTTGGTCTCCTTGGCAGGTAAGAGTAGGCTGAGGAAGGTGTGGAGTCTTTGCATAGTGTGTGTGTGTGTGTGTGTGTGTGTGTGTGTGTGTTCACTGATAAAACCAAAGGCACCAAAGGTAGACAGAGCCTACTTGAGTCATTTGTCCCCTGTTCACCTGCCTTTTTCCAAGCTGGGCGTATTAGTCCTGAGCAGCCTACGGGTCAGGGAGGAGGGGACCATAGCAGCCACTTCTGCTGCCTGAGAGCCCGAGAGACCTCTGCTGCTGTGGTACTAGCTGGTCCTCATCAGGATCACAGTTTACAGAGCCCAATGTACTCCAGGGGTGGGCAGGGTTGAGCTGAATGTAGGAGGTAGTTCTCACACTGCCCCTTCTGCCCCATAGGCCATTCTGTGCCCTAGAACTGATTTCCCTATCTCACACCCTTAGAATCAGACACACACCCATGCCCTGGGACCCTGCATGACCTAGATCCTGTCATTCACACATGCCACCCAGGACAAAATTCTGGGGATTGGCTTTCTTGCCAAGTGAGTCCCTCTCTGGGCATTAAGGGCCACTCCATTTTCCGGGGTGACGCCTCCACCCCACCCACCCCACGGAATGCCTTGGGAAGGGAGCAAGGGCCACTCCATTTTCCAGGATGCTGCCCCCACCCCACCCACCCCATGGAATGCCCTGCACACTCACTGGCAGATGACGAGTGGGCCATGTACAGCAGGACCAGCACCAACCTTCTCATCTCTGCCATCCCCAGAGAGAAACGCAGCGAGCACCATGGGCAGCTGGGGAAGACAGAAGACCCGTGACTCCATCACCTTCCCACACCCGGAGGGGGCGGTTCCCATTGAAGAAGCCACCAAAGGTCCCCAGATGAGGCAGACTGACCTGTCACATCCCCAGCTCTGGGTTCTGCGCAGACAAAGGCGGGAGGCGGCTGTCTGGCTCCAATGCTTGGCTTGCGGTTTGTGAGCTGGCCCAAGGAGAAACGGGAGTCTGCTTTCTCCAGTCTCCTCCGCAGAGCAGCCTGGGGTCTGGGGTCTGGCCGTGCTAGAGACTTGGTTCTCTAAAGAGGGTTGGCTTTTGATTTGTGGAATTCAACCCCTGCTTTAACTGTATAGCCAGAAAACACTGCTAGAAAAAAAAAAAAAAGACAGGGTTTTGGTGGGCGCTCCCCTAGGATGAGTGTCTCACAGGGGTCTCACCCTCCCTATTAGAACTCACATCAAGTCTTGCTGGGATGTCTTCACTAGTGACAGTCTCAGCACTTAGCTCAGTCTGTTCATATAGCCACCCTAGATACAGGCGCTCTCATAATCCCCGTTTTACAGACTCAGAAACTGACACTCAGAGACTCCGAGGAACAGGCCCAAAGTCACACAACAACTAAGCAGTGAACCTGGAAGGTGAGCTCAAAACTCTCTGAGCCTCTAAGCCAGTGGCGGCTTCATGTCACATCCTGGCCTCAAACCGTGAATCATGACCTAAGAAAACCGTGTGCACAGTTCTAAGTCACCATGTTCCTTTTGCTCTTAGCATGGTGCTGCGAGTCCTTCCCTGAACTGTTCCCACTAACGAAGAAACGAACTCACTGTGGCCTTATGCAGGAGAGCTCTGCAATGGAGTTTCTTCTGCGCCTTGGGAAGAATGTTCCATTGTGGCATCATGGTTACCACGGCATCTCTCAGCAAACATTTGGATTTAAGAGAAACAGGGTGAAACCTGGCCTCGATGAGGTTATTCTGGAAGATGCCTTCTGGGTATGGCTACAAAGCCTCCCCTGTGCAAGATGACAAGGTCCTTGGTTGTAGCCACGGCTACCTCCCACCCATCATCTGCCTCCACTTAGACAAGCTGCCTTACAGACCGAGTGCGTCTCCAGTCCCTCGTACTGCCAGGTTGGTTTCTTGGAGATGGAGCCTAGTTTTCTTCCTCCATGATCTCAGCTTGTGGGTCCAAGATAATCTACTGGATAGACCTAGGAAACCATGTAGCCTGGTGGGTTCTGCTCTCCAGTTGCTGAGAGAAGCCTAGGTTCCTACAACTGCTAAGACTGGATGAGAATTGACAACGTCATCGTAAGATAGAAACAGAGAGGGCTGGTGGCCTGCCGGCATGGGCTCTCAGGAGAGATTCACTTGGTGGGCAACAGCGACCATAGAGAGGTTTGGGGAAATGGAATGGGAATCTAAAAAGTGGTGACTGTCTCCCACTCGTCCCTGATGTCCTCTGGGGAGGGGGTTTGGACATGAGGACTGATCTATCAGTAGTTTGCTGCTGAAAGACCTCGGGACATTTCCTGGGCATTTTCTCATTTCCCTGGAAGAACAAAGGAAATGCTCCCCAGAGAAGGACACGATGGCCCAGATTGGTTACTTCCCCAGTCATCCACCTGGGGGTTGGCAGGGGAAGAGTGAACCCAGATGCTCCCAGCCCAGAGATGGTGAGCCAACTCCGTGAGTTTCCCTGCCAGGCTATGACTGCTTCTATCAGGGGCAGGAGCAGAGACAGGAAATGGGACTCTCAAGGGGGCAGTGACTGTTAAGTGACCTTTTCTTGAGGAGTCTGTTTCTATTCACCCCAAACAGAGAGCCTAGCAGCAGCCAGAAGAAAGGATTTCATCCAAGTCTAGCCTGGTGAGCCAGCGAGTTTGGGGGTTACTCAGAGGAGGAGAGTAGAGCAGTTACTTGTCAAACCATGAACTTTAATCAAAAGCAGAACTTTTTTGGAAAAGTCCGATACTTTTGAGGGAAATCTCATTGATTCCTCTTTGATTATGTTTGTGAAGCCAAGAGGCCACGGATCACCCCAAAGATGAGGTGTTTGGGAAATGGAGTCTGTTATTTCCTTTACTCTCCACTATATCTGATAAAAGAAAATAATAATTGCTGACCTAGCAAATAATCAGCTCTTTAGTGCCATACTCATAGAAGACATCACTAATCTAACACCACACCCTTACCCCAACCTGAACTCCCTCCATAGACTACTCACAGCAGACATCACCAATCTAACACTGCACCCTTACCCCAACCTGAACTCCCTCCATAGACTACTCACAACAGACATGACTAATCTAACACTGTACCCTTCCCCTGATCTAAACTTCCCTCTGTAGAATACTTCTCAGAATAGGCAGTCATTACCAATCAACCAGTCATTTCACAAGAAAAATCAAAGACTCACTTTCTCCTTCACAGAAAAGAGATTTATTCAGCAGCTTCCAGCACTAAAAACAAGAATATACAGCCTACTAGTTCAACTAACTCAAAATATCAATTTCCAGGGGCTGGAGAGATGGCTTAATGGTTAAGAGCACTGGCTGCTCTTCCAGAGGTCATGAGTTCAATTCCCAGCAACCACATGGTGGCTCACGACCATCTGTAATGAGATCTGGTGCCCTTTTCTGGCATGTGGGCAGACATGAAGGCAGAATGTTGTATGCACAATAAATAAACAAATAAAATCTTTTTAAAAATATCAATTTCCAAACTAAACATTGTAAATAATTTGCAAAAAAGTGAAAAAAATCATGGTTATGTTTTTGGATTAATTAGAGAATACACGGATACTTGAACTAATATCAAGTTTGTAGTAGTTTGTTAGTTTGACTTTGGAATTCAACAGTTTGAATTTTTTTCCAGAAATATTTCAAGGTTTTCTGGCTATTTACAATGCCATTCCCATGATTTCTCTGACCTGGCAACCTCCAGGCTACCCCGCATCTCTATGCATTTCTCTCCGTTGAATCCTCATCTGAGCTGGAGCGTGTGCTTGGCAGCCTTTGGTGTCTGATGTCTTTTATATGGAATGGTGATTTCAATGCTGCCCAAGTTACTGTGTGTATCAATGCTTCGTTTCTTTATAAAGCTGGCTAATAGTACATGTATGGACACACATGTTTGGACATGCATGTAATATTGCCACCGTTCAACCTCCTCTTACAAGAGGGCGTTTTTACTCTGGGGCTCCTGGGAATAATGGAATTATTCATATTTATCTGACTTAAGTTTCTTGGGCTCTTGTCTGCATGGAGTCACATTTTCATCATATCTGGGGCTTTTCCGGCCATTGTTACCCTACTTCTGCCCCTTTATCTCTCTCTCTGCATTTCATGTATGTTGATGTGCTCTTGGCATCCCCGTTCATTTGTCTTTGTTTCTCAGGCCTGCTAATCTTGATTGATTTAGATTAACAATCGTTCCCTCTCTTCTAGCCGGCTCCTGAAATGCTTTCTAGAATCTTTTGGGAGGATGGTGATTATGCTTTTCAGCTCCCAGTTCCTATCTGGGTCCGTTTTTATACTCGAGCTCTTTAGCTATTAATATTGCCTGTCTGTTCTCTTACTGTTCCCATCATTTCTTTTTCTATATCTAGTTCTTTGACTATTCTGGAAATAGATAGTTGGTCCGGGGAGTGCGGCTCAGTGGCTGAGCCTGGGTTCATCCCTAGCGCCACATGTAGGTCCCTTGTGTGCAGATCATTCTTTCTTGGTTCCCATAATTCTTTGAAAGTAGGGACAGCACTTGGATCAGTTAAGACACCACAGAGCTAACCTTCCTGTGGGCTGGCTGGTTTTTTTCTAGGCATTCTTTTTGTTCCTTTAAGACCTTGGTTTCCAGAGTTCTGAAAAACTTAATTCTAATGGTTTTTACTAGATTTTTCCATTGGTTTTTATGGAAGGACAGACTTTAAAATTTTTTTAATGCATTCTATGTGTGGACAGACTTACACCGAAGTTCCTTACACTGCCATTTTTACGAGTTCTCCTTCTTCATTCATTCATTTATATGGTGACAAATACACTTAGACACTCCCTCATCACCTAAACCTTTTCAACGGCAATGCAGTGGTGTTAATATATTAGTGTTGGGCAGCCATCAACACAGTTCTTCTCCAGAGCATTCTTTTTCTGAAGCAGGATATATGTATGTACCCTATGTAGTAGTCCCAGAGAGCTGGCCTGGAACTTATGTAGACCAGACTGGCCTCGAACTTGTGGTGATCATCCCGCCCCTGTCCCTGATATGCCAAAATTACAAGTGTATACCACCACACCTGGCTCCAGAGGTCTTTCATCTTTTTAAATGGAACTTCACCTCTCAAACTGTAACTTCTGTCCCTTTTGTCCACAGGCACCATTCTGTTTTCTGTTTTTTAAGAGTTCTGATTGCTCTTGCAGAGGACCTGGGTTCAATTCTCAGCACCCACATCGTGGCTTACTATCTGTAGCTCCAGTTCTAGGGGACCTGACACCCGCACACAGACATACATGCAGGTAAAATCCAATGCACATAAAAATAAATAAATTTAAAATAGTGAATGAAAATTTTTTAAAAATCTGGTTACTTGTGACCCCACACATAAGTAGATCCACCCAGTATTTGTCCCTTTGTGTCTGACACTTCATTTAACACACTGTCTTTACTGTCCAGTTGTGTTGTGGCATGTATCAGAATTCCATTCTTTATGTATTTGGTGGGGTGAGGCAGCTGGGGTTGACATCAGGAGTCTTCCTCAGTCATTCTCCAGTGTTTATGAAGCAGTCTCTCAGTCAAATCCAGAGTCTACCAATGAGGCTAGTATCCAGTCAGCTTGTTCCAGGGATCTCCAGTCTCGGCCTCCTGAGCCTCAGGATTCTATGTGGGTCACCACAGCCACCAGGCATTATGTGGGGTTTGGACCTCAAGTTTGCGCTTTATCCACTGAGCCATTAGCCTAGAGGCTCCACTCCTTTCCAAACATCACCCAGGATGACCTGAAGG